CCGTCTCACACCTTGCTGCATATGGTTTTCTGTCACTACACAGTTGCCTTCTGCCTTTAAGCAATTAAGTAAGCAAGGTGCTTACACCCTTTCATGGAGCTGTACTGCCCATGGATTTGTTCTCCGATCCCCAATGGGAATGCATTTAGATGTTGCGGCTTGACACAGTGCGATTGTAATGCATCACCTGCTTTACAGAGCCAGTGGATCAATTAAATTGTTAATGACTGCCAAAGGGGTAACAGGTGTACACCCATTCAGAAAACCACATCCAGTTGGTAGCTAGTGCCTTTGGAAATGGCTTTATAAATGTACAGCTCAGGACATCAATGAGGAAAGAATGGCACTGCGTTTTTTTTTTCCCCGTTGACCTGTATACACCTGTTAAACTTGTCTTTAACCCTAAGACTCCTCAGTCCTCCAACAGGTGAAGGATTGAGGAGGGTTAGGGTTAACACTTTTCAAACCCTTTCTGCAAAATGATGCTCGAGTATGACACTGCTGCCAAAAAAAAAATGACTCTGAGAAACAAGCTGAAAAAGAAGACAGGTGCTTTTCACCGCTTTTGAAAGCAACTTTATTCAGAATTGATGCCTGATCAGAAGAAACGCACTCTCGAAAACGGGAGCACTGTTTCCGCCACGCCAGTACAATAAAATCCCTACGCATACGCACATGCACGCAAATGTTTTGGCAACTCCATTGTGCGTCTGGATGGTAAACCTCATTGGACGCCGCCCCTCCTGTATGTTACTCTTTTCAGGCAGCTTTATGACCAAGCTTCAGTGAACTGTCTTCCCGTCTTTCCATTGAAAACCCAACCAGGCATGTCCTACATTTTCGCAGGTTTTGTGGACTAATTTAAGGCACATTTCCAGTACAACCTTCCAGTTTTTTTTTTTTTCCTCAGCCACCCCAAGAGTGTTCAGTTCTGTGTTTCAAAGCTTCAGATGAACATGGCCATCAGAATCACTTTTTAGAGTGAGCGCAGTCAACACGGGCTTTGTGCTAGATTTTATAACCACCGTAATTCCTTCCTGCCCGACTTCCAGCAGACAAGTAATGGCAAAACAAGGCAGCAGAGACGAAACCAAACGTTTTCCTAAACCTTGACGTTTCTTCAACAATGTGTTCAAAAATGTAACTGCTTCAAGCCTTTCATTTCAATTTCATGGAGCAAACAAAGGACATTTTGAAAATCATGTGAAGACACTTTGGTAAACAAGGCCTCAAGTGAGATGCAAGGGTCTCAACATGTCTCACGTCCAATTGCATACAGCGAACACGAGAGTCCCTGCCCACGCGCCTACAGTTGCCAAAGAAACGTGACCGATACCATCATCGGGTGCAACTCGGGAAGGAATACAGGAAATGCGCCTCTGAATGGCTGTAGATCTCGTAATCTCACCTGCTGCGGGACCTGCGGTTACGGCGACGGTTGTAGCGACAGTCCCGGGCAAAGTGGCCCCTCTGCCCGCACTCATAGCACTTCTCGTCGCTGATGGAGCGACGGGGCGGGTAACGGCCACTGCCCCGATTTCGGCTCTCCCCCGTCGACATCTCGACGGTGATCCGACGCCCACAGAGGTAGCTGGGTGAGATTCAGGGAGGAGGGAAAAAAGTGCTTAGCTCTATTTGGCCAATCCCTATCCTACTACGGCCAGTTTGATGACTGGAAAAAATAATGTGACCGACTTTAGGTTTGAGTGGCGGTAACTTCTTCACCTGCGAGCCACGTTCAAACCCCACCCAGGCCAGCCAGTGGGTTGGGTTTTCAACCTGAATACATGGAATTTGTCTCCCAGAAGTTATCTTGGGTTTCCCTTCAACATGTCATCTCCTTACAGGTTTCTTCGACCTTTGCTCTACGATATCCTCCACATCACTTTCACATTCCTTTGCCATGACTGCCCTACGCGTTGCTGCAGAAATGCTACTTCAGTGGAGGTCAAAAACATACCACAAGGAACGCCAACATAATCCTCTGACACACAAACAGTGCTGTCTAATTTCTCTCCACTTGGGAGTCTTTGCTGATTAAGTGTGAGAGGGTATTGTCATATCTGGCCTACTGACCCAAAAGTACATATCAAGACAGCGACGTTTCTACCCAACACTTTACTGACAGTGACTTTTCAAATGGCTATCACCCCAGAATTCGGCACTTACACAGCTGGGTGTTGAATGCCAACCGCCGGATATAACAAGGCCCCCCCCCTAACCTGTGCTTATGTAAATGCACATCTGCTTCACTCTGTTGTTTTCACTTGTTACGCATGAAAAATAAACCTAGCTACAAGTCTTTTGTGAAAACGTTTCTTTTTTTATCATGCCATTACCAGTCGTCCAAGCCATCTACGGCACGCAGCGCATCACTGCGATTCTTGAACTCAACAAATGCAAATCCAGGAGGGTTCCTGGCCACCCAAACATTGGTCAGGTCCCCGTACTTGATGAAGGCATCTTCTAGCTCATGACGACTGGCGCCCGACCCCAAGTTACCGACGTACACCTTGCAATCGACGCTTCGGTGGAAATACGACATTCTACTCACTCGACAGGTAATATCTGCAACAAATGATAGATTTCAATATTGATTCAAAGTTTGGCATTTCATTTTTCTTCCCAAGCTGTGGGAAGCGTAACAATTTTCACAGCTCACTCAAATTTTGTCAAACTAGCCAGGTTGTTTGATTTAAACACATGATTTAAATCTCTTTAAAATGTTTCTTTTAAATCACGTTTAAGAAACCTTAAATTTATGGGGGTATTTGAAAGGAAGAAATGGCAGAATTCAATACATGTATTATCTAATACATATCTAATACGGACTGAGCGATAAGATGCTACATGCACCAATGGGCTCTTACAAAAATTGGGGCAGCAGATTAGATGTCTTGACATGGAACAGCCGTCAAGACGATGAGGAATCAAGTGACGTAATGTTCAACGACCTTATTTTAAAGATGGCAACTGTGAGAGCGAACCCATGAGATTGAATGGGTGAAGGCAAAAAGACTGGGAAATACCAGAACGTGATAATCATTCATTAAATGGCGCTAAGAAAGCGGAGAGGCTAAGGATCATTTCTGTGTGCAAAAGAATTGTGCCCACGATGATAAGAGGGTGCGCTGAAAATGTTCAGTATGCCCACAAGAAATTGTGTATATGGATGTGTGGCTAAGGATGGAGCGGGAGTGAGAGTCCGTGCCACACTAGTAGTGGGACTAGGTCAGGGAGTCCACCTGGTACCTGGGCAAGCCTAGGGCCTAACTCGCCGTCGTTTGTCATGTTTGTGGAACTCCTTTCTCGACCATTTACTGAAGAGGCTTGTAATGGGGCAAAGTGGAAATGGGGCGAAGTGGGGATGGGGTGAAGTGGGGATGCGGCGAAGTTGGGATGCGGCGATGTAGAAACGGGGCGAAGTGAGTGTAATTTCTTAACCATGTCAGTGGTCATATATACATGGCGCAACAGCGAGCCACTCGTAAAAGCAGTGAAATGCATCTTTTAGGAGACAGATGCAAGTGTTGCAATTAACCAATACAAACTCTGTTCATGTACTGACCAAATATCGACACGTACTGTCTGAAAAGTTGCGAAAGACTTCATAAAACCTGACAAAAATTGATCATGCCTACCTCAACGTAGCTAGCATACGCGTGCAAATTGCCGGAAAATTAATAGCCGGGTACTCTGAAGGTTTTCACGTTTATAAAATGCTTCAGTCTCGGTGCCAGACACAACAGAATTTCACGGGGGTCGCCGCTGTAATACAAACCACGGGACAAGTGGTCAACACGTGGGCTGGCTGGACCATACCTATTATTCAGCCCCCGTTAAAAAGAGTCTAAAATCAACAAAGTTCAGCAGGGCCCAGTAACATCATTCCTCCATGGTAACATGCAACCCGCCATTTGTAGAGTTTCTCAAACAAAATAAAATTATTTTCTTGACACTAATCTTTCAATTTCTCTTCAATTTTGGTGGATAGCCAGTTACATTTTTTAATTATCCACATAAAACAACCCCCCCCCGAAAAGTGATAGTTCCCAAGCCTGCGCGCAGCTATTTTTTTATTGGCTTCCGGCCACTTTCTTGGGCACTAAGGGTGGTTTTTCATCCGTACTTTTACCAACCCTGCCCTCATCACGTGGAAACCCCTAGATCACTGGAGTTGATCCTGGCCCGTATTTCCACAATCCATCATTTTTTGGGGGGGGGGGGGCAAAAAATCTATTTTTTCAAAAGAAACTGAGGGGCGCACTTTTACGCTGAGCTCATCAGAATATCTCACTTGAATTTAGTGCGCGGCGTTCTTTATTGTTAATGGTATGCATACGTACAGAAGCACTATGCAGGTGAACTCCCCCCCCCCCGCTAAACTCTTTTCCAGAATGTTGCATTGACCCACTCTGAAATGCACAAATTATGAATGTTCTCATTTTTCTGTTTTCCTTGCAGTACGGACCATCTCCATCAGATCTTTCAGCTTACAATTTCACAACACTCCTAGAAAAAAGTAAAACAAACACCAGTTTCATGTATCAAAATAGTATGTTTTTTTTCACCCGGCTTCTTACAAATACAAACGTTTTCCAGCCATTTAAGCACTTTTTCAAACTTCTGTGTGGCTTGCCTACAAAGTGCACCACTTGGAAATTCCCCAAAACTTAACTCCCCATATACTTATGTAGCTTCTCAGTAAGTCCCCCATAATTCGGCATGAAAATTCAAAACAATTGGCAGGCTGCATAGGTTACTACCTGATAGACCAATCTACTCATCATTTGCTGTACTTTTGTAAATTTTGTTCAAAGAAGAACAAAAATTCCACTCTCCATCCACATTGTCCCAACTACGGACAGATGGAGAAACTTGAAAAAATTATCCTGGGGGAAATTAAAATATCAATGGTAGCTCTGGGGGTATTTCTAGAATGACCAGAAAATCTACAAGTAACTGGCCCCTCAAGGCTGTGTCCCTCTGTTAACAGGCAAAGACTTGCAGCCTCAGCTCCATATTTCTGAACTGCTGAGACAGCATTGGTAAACATCTGAGTGTGTTATACAACCTACAAGTCAGACACACAAGTTACTTTGCACATCCAATAAGGTGATATGCTCATTCACCCTGGGAGAAAGGAACTATCTCACAGAAAATAAGATACATAAGATTACTTTTATGCTTCGATTACCTTTCACCAAAACGCCCCTACTCCATATTAAGGTTTAGAAAGATAAGAAAAAAATTCCCCGGTGTGTGCCTGCTATTCTAAGTGGACAAGGAGTCGTCTACGGAGGGTATAGTGCAAGTATGCACATCCTCACGCAAATTAAACAGCACATGGTCACATGACCAATTTTCCTTTAAATGTGCACAAAACTATCCCATGATTGGCTTATGGTGACAATGGCACTCAAAAAAGAGACGCATTTTGCTCAGAAAGGCCAGTGAAGGTCGCATCCTGCTAACTGCCGTGGGAAATGCGGGTACCAGGGAACGGACTGCACACGACCAACTATCAAGTGGATCTCCCATGGACAACCAGTATTACATTTGTTTCAGAGGAACGTGACCAGCCGCCATTGCTAGGGGTAATGTCATGCACTCTTAGTACCACAGTAAAAAATTTACGCACAAATAAAATGAACCACAGAGTTGAATATCACAACCTAAACTTTGTAGAAGTACTACGAATCCTCCTCGAACCTTACAAAAAGTACTCTACCGTTATAAACCAAGATTACTTTGAGAAATTTACAACGCATAATCTTATTCACATTACGATTTTTGAAATAAGTTTATATCGTTATATAACATCTTATTTACAATTCAAATTCGTAAAGACATGCACCAAGTACAAATAAGTCTGACATCTTCACTGATAAAGTGAAAAATGTTTGTACAACAGATTTCAGATTTCATCCTAGGTTCTCCTTCTTCGGGCTGTTGATTGTAACTTTTTTTCAGTGATAAAAAGTTAGACTGCAGTGAATTTGTCAAAAAACTCAAATCACTTGGACAATACTAACACAGTGTAACGGCACAACTGGCAGTGGCTCTGATGTGGGATACACGTTATTCTACCCCTACAAAGGTGCATGTCAAAAACCAGACTGTTCTACTAAAAAAGGGAGTCGAGAAATACGAATTAATAATTGGGGCTCATAAAAATGACTCAACACATTCGAGGACAAATCTTAAAAAGAAAACTGAGCCTCAAGAAATTTGTGCTTTCAACGTCACATCTGTAGCTTTCAACTTAGCCACAAATGTCTCCCATCCTCACTACGAAAAGAAACCAAAAAAAAACCAGAAAGCGGTCAAATCAGGGCAAAGCCTCTTCCTCCTCCTCCCCATTGCTCTGAAACTCCGCCCCGTTCCGGCTCCCCTCCAGGGCCACCCGGTTCTGGTTCTTCCACAGCACGCTGTAGAAGCTGTCCGGGTTGCTCAGCAGCATGTAGTGGTTGCCCCGCTCCACCACGCGTCCCTCCCGGAGGACCAGGATCTCGTCCGCGTCCACCACGGTGGACAGGCGATGGGCAATGAAGATAGAGGTACGGCCAGCCGTCACAGTCTTCATGGCATTCAGGATGTTCTGCGTTAAGAGCAAGCAGGGAACAACTCACCGCTGGTAGACAGTCTCATTTTGGGCCCAAAAGTGTCAACTTTCAAAACAAGGCGAGACAAGGCCGCTAACAGCCAAACCCTCCAAATACCGATTTGCAAGAGTCATTTGAACATTTTTTGTACATTACTAATAACTTCAGGCTCGTAGTTTTCAATAGACTGGGGCAGGACCACTGGACAAACTTTGCTACCACAAGAAGCTATGCACAGTGACTAAGTTAAAGGTCCACACATGTTCCACCTCCGCCGATATCAGGGACTTTGTACACAAGAAATGAGGAATAAGTGTGCTTTCGTTTAAGCTGGAGGGAAGCAAAAAGCTTGACATTTTAACCCGCCAGCTGTGCATGTGCACATTACACAGAAAGCCAGATTATGTTTAAACTTTCTCCGGCATGAGGTGGTTAGTGGAGCTTTGTCACATGAGAACCAAATCTCAATGAACCACAAGGAGGCCTTTTTTCTTTTCAAATTGGGCTCAAACGACCTGCTCACTCTGAAAGAAAAAAGTGATTACAGCTAAAATAGCCTTAGCGTAATCTCGTTAAAATGTTTTGGATTATGAGCACTTCTCAATTCTGAACTGTATATTTCACTATCTGACTGAAACTAAACTTCTTTGAAAATTCAGCTTTTTTGGCTCAGTCCCACAGGGATCCCATCGAAGACACCAACATACCACAGCGAAGCTTACAAAAGGTGTCTTCTGTCAGCATTTAGACTGCGATACCTGTTCAGTGATGGAGTCAAGAGATGATGTTGCTTCATCGTACAGGATGATTGGAGGATTCTTGAGAATTGTCCTGGCTATAGCAACGCGCTGTTTCTCACCCCCTGGGGACACCAACCGACACCAATGAAAATAAGCTGCCTTTCACATCCAAACTGAGAAGAAAACATGGCTTCAACAGACAATGGGAGTTATTGTAAGATGCAGTCTTCAGTAAGATGCAGTCTTCAAGAAACAGTCCAAATTCTGCAGTTTATTGGCATTATGCATTAAACCTTGAAAAGTCGTTGGACAATCTGACAATCTTCACAGAGGCAGCACACGACACACTGTTCCTCCAACATGGCTTCAAGTGAACCTGCACTCCAACATGGCTGCCGGTGCAACCCGGCCATACAAACCTGACAGTTTCAGGCCCCGTTCCCCCACTTCGGTGTCATAGCCCTTGGGCATTCTCCTCACGCTCTCGTCCACGTCGGCCATCTTGGCGGCCGCAAACACCTCTTCCGTCGTGGCGTCGAAGTTCCCGTAGTGCAGATTGTAGAAGATGGTGTTGTGGAAGAGAACGCAGTCCTTATAGGACAGAAAGAACACCCAACACTTTGTAGTCAGGTGACGCACTTCTTGGAGTTCCTTGACTCTTATCAAGTAATGGTATTATGAAACCATAACGTGAAACAAGTCACCCATACACCCGGTTTTGATATGCTACCTACCTGGGGGACCACACCAATTGAACTCCGTAGACTTTCCAGGTCCACGTCACGGATGTCGCTGTTATTGATTAAAATACGCCCCGAGTCAGGGTCATAGAATCTGTACAACATTCTGATGATGGTAGATTTCCTGCCAAAAAAAAAAAACAGAAATAAAAGAGTATAGCCCATCAAAATAAATCAGCATGATAGCCTGGGAGGGTACTGTACTTCAACTGGTGTTGTTATATAATGGTGTTCTGAAATCCCGTCTCAGTCGAAACGTTACACTAGTGGACTGTCTGAATAACTTCATCGTGGCTGACAATAACATGCAAGTCTATGGACAATGGTTGGGGCCACTGGCAAGTGGAAGTGTTTGTTCATAGCCACAGCCACAACTTTTGGACACGGCTGTTAAGTTTGCTGTCTCACCCAGATCCACTCCCACCGACAATGGCCACCTTCTTCCCCGCGGGGACGGTGAAAGACAAGTTCTTGAAGATTTGCTGCCCTTCCACGTAAGCGAAGCTGACATCTTCAAACGTGATAGAGCAGTTTTGAGGCGTTATGTCGAGGGCCGGGGCGTTTACTTTACTCTGGCAAATGAAAAAAAGGAACAAACCCCCCTAAAAATCATTGTCTTAAAACGCAAAACTAAATCTCCACTGGCTGTGGGTAGAAACACGCAACAGACATATTACATTGCTAAACCAGTTGAGAACTCCATTAACCCCTTCACGCCGGGATTCTTTTGACCGTCACTGCTGGGCTGTGGTATGCCCAGTATGCAAAGCTCTGTCCAGCAGCAGGCCCCATTGAACCAGCAGCTGCATGGTGAATAGACTGTATGTGTGGTATGCACTCATCCTCGCACAAAGCCATGGCTGTGGATGGCTCCCGGTCTGAAGGGGTTAACTTGTATGATGTAAAACCTCACCGTCTCTTTGTGGCCGACTGTAAGTTTTCCAACATTGTTCCTATCTGTGAACTCCACGTTATTTTGTTCGAGAGTCCAGCAAAAATGTTTGTGAAGAAGACCCATTTTCTTTAACTTGTAAGACAGAGCCCCAAAAAAAAGGCTTTCCAGCCTGCTGCAAGTTTAGCCAGCATTTTTTTTTTGGCCCAAGATTCAAGATTAGAACAGCCTTTCTAGAAGGGATGCTCCAACCATTCTAAGTTTACAAACTTAAACCCATCCCGAGCAGCGAGGTTACGCAGTGAAAGAAGTGGTCACCTACCGTGATTGAGGAATCCACTTTCAGCAGGCTGAACATGGTGCCCATGTCGATGAGGGACTGCCGGATCTCCCGGTACACTGACCCGAGAAAGTTAAGGGGGAGGGAAAGTTGAAAGAGAAGACCGTTCACCATGACCAGGTCCCCGACGGTGAGGTTGCCTGAGCAAGTGGAGGAAAAATTCATCGGAAGCTCTGAAAAATTACCCGTCACGCAGGAAAAACCACCGCTGTTTGGCAAAGACAACTTGTCAACCTCTAACTAGCTACAATGTTTCCCACCACGGAAAAAAGGAATGTCAAAGACTTTGGGAGCTCTCCCTTTTCACCTGACTAACACTTAGACTTGTCAGAGATTGCAAATAGTTTGTTATTGCTATTCACGAAAGATCCCAAACGATGGCAATGTTAACACCAGTGGAAAAACCTCAGTTCAATATTTGATGTTCTTGTCATGACTTATAGCCTTCCTACATGTAACAAGCAGAGGGTTACGGCTATTGATGGACTTTGCTGCTTCATATCTTGTGGCCTTTTTCAAACATTCTTCACACATTAACCCTAACCCTCCTCAATCCTCCAAAATCCTTCGGGCGGTTTTGGAGGATTGAGGGTGAATGGCAAAAGTGCATGGCTGATTATGAAGGATGCCATGCATGAAGGTCGTGGATTAGACCTTATATTGTTTATGCTTGGTCAAGCACAAATTCAGCCCGATATTTCCTTTGAATCAACCGCACAGCTCAAGAATGCCCTTCGCACAGCCTCAACATAATGACAGGAATTGCTGGAGGATTTTGAAGGATTGAGGCAGCAGGCAGACCCCCAAAAAACATTTTCAAGAAATTTTGGAGGATTGAGGCTGAATGCAATTTTTTCACGTTGAAAATCGGAGGATTTTGGAGGACTTTGGAGGATTGAGGATGGTTCCTAGGGGGTTAGGGTTAACGACTGGCCAAAGCAACAGGCACCTCATCCCTCAAGCCAGTTTTCAGAGACCTTCCCTCAGAGCATGGGGAACCTTCTCACCCTGGTTCCACAGAACGACAAGATGTAGTGTGAACGATTCCCTACCGGCGATAATTCCTTTGCTTGCAAGGACCATGATGGCGGCCAGCGATGCGCTGAAGATGGCGTTCTGGCCCCAGTTGAGGAGTGCCAAGCTCGTGGTGGTCCGGAGTGACGCTACCTCGTACTTGGCTAGATTCTTGTCGTAGTTCTTCGTTTCGTATTTCTCGTTGTTGAAGTACTTCGTGGATGAGAAAAGGAAAAAAAAAAAACAAGTCCCTAGCCTTGACATATTTGATAGCAACTAAGCCACAAAGAGATAGTATAACGTTGACGCACGCAGTCCCCCCTTATCGTTGAGGAGTTCGCACATCCAAGCAAGTTATCCTATTGGTTGATGGAGCACTCAAGTGCCCAGTCAGTGAGTACAACCTGGACAAGAACACTGTGTCAACTCAACGATGGCTTGCTGCATTACTCAAGAAAAAACATCAATATTGGCAGAAAGGTTGCACACTTACGGCTTCAACTCGCTATACCAACAATGATCACTATTTTTACCTACGTGCAATATTTGACAAGCATGCCTTTTCTTCCGAGTAGGTCAGATTAACTACACCAGACTTGTCGAAAAAGACACAAACCAACCCAACTACTGATTTCATGCGTGATTTCACTGTTTAAACAGAATTTCAACTGTCCCTAGGTAATATTGCAAAAGGTGTCCAAAGTCAACTACAAAAGTCAGCATCTCCATAAGAAAATGACGGGGGCACCAGTTATACCTTAACTGTCTCGTAGTTGATGAGTGAGTCGATGGCTTGGTTACCAGCCTCATTGTCGGCATGGTTCATCTCCACCCTGAATTTCGTCCTCCAGGCGGTGATGCTGAGCGTGAAGGCCGCGTACGCCGCTATGCAGGCCAGCGTGACACCTGCAAACGGGGCTCCTAGGCTGAAGTACTGCAAAGGCAAATGCAGTGGAAGAAAAGACTCAACTTTAAATGTATCCACAGAGTGCTACGCTACACTTGGGGAGATGGTTGAGCCTTCCGCTCATGGGGGGAGGGGGAATTTGGGGTGCAGCCGTGCAGGTGCCGAGGTCCGTTTCAATTACTGGACCGATAAAGAATTTTGTAGCATCTCACCATTATTCCTGTGACCAGACCGACTTCAAATATCGTGGGGACAATGTTGAACACCAACGCCATCAGAACAAAGTTAATGCCTCTGCAAAACCAAAAGAAAAAGCCACAATCAAAAAAAAAAATGCACGAACGGAGAGAAGATGCAACCAAGTCAGATTATGTGCCACACCCGACACTATTCCCATGACACAGGGAATAATGTGGCTTCATGGACCGTGATCCTTCTCTGGTTTTCTCTGAGCGCCTTGCCGAGTGCAACAAAAACCCACTCGGCTGAAAAGGATTTCGTGCCATTCCATACTACACTGGATGAGCACAAGCCTCGATACTGTACAGTTTATGCAGATGTCCTACCACTTCCGTTGACTGCTGAATCCAAAGATATACGACAATTCTTCATGATCACTGTCACACTCTGTTGAATTCAGCCGGTTTGACTTGAATTTAATAATAATAGTAATTGAAAATTTCTAATGCGCCGTTTCCATAGAAATGATCAACGGCGCAGTACAAATAACGTCAAAAATAACTGATTTAACGTAAAAAGAATTGATTTAAGAAATGAAAGGATAGGGATAAGTGTATAGGGAATGAATTTAGAATATTAAGCTTTTGCCACAATTGTACACACCTGCTCCCCCTGTCGATGGCTTTGGACAGGCCACCAGTCTGGCGCGACAGGTGAAAGTTCAGGTCCAGGGAGTGCAGGTGGTAGAAGACGTTCCGGGCGACCCGTCGGATAGAGTTCTGGGCCACTTTGGCAAAGACAGCATTCCGCATCTCGTTGAAGAGGGAGGCTCCCGCCCTGGCTGCTCCGTCTATTGGCAACCAAACAACAAGGAAAATGTCACATGTGTTATTCATAAGATGACATCCAATTCTTCATAACATTGGAAGAACCAGTTCAGCAAGGATACGACATGATTTGAAGTGGGGCTTGTTGCCTTGACTTTGTTTCTTCGTGATAAACTCTGGGCAACATTTGACCTCCCTCCTCATGGGCTGTCTGGCCCTTCAGAACCCCACACCACAACTGCTACAAAGCTAAGGTGGCGTTTGAAACCTCCTTAAATTGAGGGTTTGGGGGGGGGAAATAATTGAAAAAGTAAACAGTCCTGTTGAGAGCTGGGGTCAATTTCAAGAAGTAGTCATGCAAAAGGCATTTGCTAAGGCTGCATCTGTTGTGAAGACCTCCGTCTAGGGCTTCGCTTCGTTGAAAATATGCTGTGATACACTAACATTTGACGGCTCTGGAAGCCCGTTTCTGATACAGACAGAGCAGAGAAAAAAATATTCGCTAAGCAAAAAACCGAGAACCGGCCATAAATTCTTGAGGGGCATACTGCCTCTGAATGGTTCCCCGTCGATATCTGCTAGCACCCAATTTGCTAGGTGATCTCTTCTCGGTACAAAGCTTCGTAACGTTTCATCCAGATCTCCGCGAATGAAGGTTTTAACCACTTGCTGCCGGGTGGTTTGAAAAATGCAGTGCACAAAATCGGGACTTTTTCGAGATTTTTAGTTTTCAAAATTCTTCAAAAATTCATCATTTCAATTAATGGAAGTTTACAAATTACACCCACACAAATTACTGTCAGGTGGCCACTCTAGTCTGGCAGACAAAATCTACTGACGCCCGAGTATTTCGGCCAGGCCTGCAGCCTTGTAAAAAGAGCCCAGATTGTGCAGTGTTATGTAACTTTCTTTTGTTCACAAACCAGGCACAGTGCACTGCTGACTTCTTTTCAATAGGGGCCAGATTAGGGTACTGTGTGGCTCATCGCTGCAGTGGTGGAGCGCTTTTGTCCCCGGTGGTAATCCGCTTGCTCTAAATGCCCAAAACCATGGTATACTGTTTCAAAACAAGGCTGGATCATCTCCACTATTGAGAGTGAAAAAATGTTGGTAATGCCCAGCAGCCTGGTGTTTTGTTCTGAGTACGGTCTTTTGTTAACAAGGCCCAGTTCCCTTTGTCCGATTTCGGCGATCCCGGCCACGCATATAAACACACAGTGCCCGAAACCTGAGTCCCCAGCGGCAAGTGGTTAATTAGCACTTCCACACTTACAGCCAATAAGGAGGGCTGTAGCCACTGTCGCAGCCTGGCCGCCGGACGCCATGGCATCTGCTGCTGCCTGGTGGTCATTCAAATGGTCCACAGCATATTTGAAAAGAAATGGCACGTAGACATTGGCAACCTGCCAAAAAAAAAGGACACTTATGAGGGCTCAATCCACACTGCGGTATAAATTGGTGCTAAAAACACAACCCCATTAGGCATATTAGGGTACAGAAGTGCAAATGATCTACGTTCAGTGAAAGCCTACAACTGTCTTCCTTGTTACACGGATTTAATTATCGTTATAATTCTATATTGCCGCCAAGAACAGATATTTGGTTAGAACGGGAAATACTTGCATGGCAATGGCAGGTTACCAGCCAAAATAAATGCTCTCTTTTCCCCTTTGCAACTGGTCCTCCACTGGGATTTTTTAACAGAGTTATTCACAATATGACACGACCCCAACTTCATACCCAAAAAGATCTATTTCCTGCTCATGGATTGACACTGGTAACCATGTGACGCTGTACGTACAAGCAACAAAGAGTTGGACTACGTATGATTATTGTGCAACAGAGTTACAAAATCTTGACCTTTTCCAACGATCTGACGATGTTGATTTGAGCCCTATATCGGTGGTTTTGTGATATTGTGAGTTGTTCATATTAAACCTTGGTTATTACCTTGGCACCAACCAGAAGGCCGAGAGCCGTCATCACCCTGATCTTAATCCCCCTCTCGTCCCTGGGCCAGATGTAGGACAGCATCTCCCGGATGATCTCCCAGCCAGTCACCTGGTTGGTGACGCCCGTCTTGGCCGGTACGCCGGTGCTGAGGGCGTGGAGTCTGTCTTTGCGCACCACGATGCAGGTAACTGCGGGGTTGACCCAGTGCTGAAATGCAGACCACAAGGACACTCTTTCAGACAATCCAACTAAAAGAACGTAACAGCCACAAACAAAAATTGGGGGGAGGGACCTTTATCTGCTCAGTGCCATTCAATTTTTTTTTATGAGTGTACAAAACATACCAGAGGTAGCTTTTCCTCCAACCCCCAACCCCTTCCCAAAGAAGTACAAAAGAAAATCATAATGGCCAATCTCCATTTTATACATTTTTTGAAAACAAATTCACAAGCCTGATATCCCTTGTCCCCCAGAGTAAAAACCCCAAAGCGTTCACCAAGGATAGGAAATAGATGATCAGGTTATGTCGCAAGCCTGATATAACATGGATCAACTGACTGTACAAGGCACTGGCAGATAGTGGCTAGCACAAGGAAGTATCAGTCTGCTCAACTAAGGAAAGTTTTGACGATATTAAATCAAGGTCTATTTGGTAAATATGTAAACACTCAATTAGAAAGTCAAGGTTTTGGACACAGATGATATGTTCCATAATTTGCCATTTTTATCCACTGAAGAAATGTAAAATGCTTGGAGTTTTTCCCCTGAAATTTATCACTCAGCTGAAATTCAGTAACGTACGGAGAATCATTTACCTGTTTTTGTTGCAGCAATCCATACTGTCTACTTGATAAACACACCCTGGTGGTACGAGGGGATTTCACCTTATTGAGAAGAAACGACGTATTCCTCTGCAAAATATATACATGTATTTAGCACAAAAATAGAATATTGGTCAAATAATTATGATAAACATAACAAAGCAGCTACTTTTTTTTTTTTTTAGTCATACAAATTAATCATCGCAAACAGCATGACTCTATTACCCGGATTACAGACGTTTACAACACCCCGGCCTTTGAAATTGAACAATGCAGAACACAAATCTTCCCAGATGTCCGGCCATAAGAATACCACATGTAGGCCTAATATGTCGGGCTGAACATCTAAACATGATGTAGGCATATGAAGTGATCAAGTAAGGTAATTTAATGTTAGGCCTACTTCTGATCATGTACATTTATGCAAAACAGTACAATTACATTTCTGTAATGTGCAACATGTGCCAGTATCATGTAGGCCCATGCTCCTGTGGGGTTTTCTGCACAGTCATGACAGTACAGGAAGATGAAGACAGATGGCAATGCTTAAGTTAACTGATGAACGACGGCAGACAACGACATATTGTAACATGTCAATTTCAATGCAATGAACATTCACCTGACATTTGTCTGTTTGTTCTTATTTATGCCTCATTTAAATGAATTAAATGCAAGACTAATTTTATCACGGTTTCCTATTGTTGGATCCAAAGAACAGTGCCCTCACTCATATCGTACGATATGATCGTATACGGTATAGCGAGCCGATCATGCCCATGCGATCTTTGGTAATCACGGTTATCAACATACTTTCATGATTTTAGGCTCATTTTTACCTGGTAATTTCCTGAATTTATTGGCCGTTTGGGTAATACATAGGTGCTTCTGGTTTGGCGAATTCTGGAGGTAAGGGAAAACTGAATGTTGGGTATAAACGACGTTTTCAACAACGACGTCTCTAATCTCGGAACCGACAAGAGCGCTGCCATCTTGGACTTTGCATGATGGGAAAAGCTCGCGGATTAATTTTTAAACAGAAAGTAGCTTTAAATTTGTCATTCATTTGGGCAGTTTATGTCAAAAACTCTCTGTCTAATTTTTGAAGTATTAACTACTTGAAATTTAAAAGTCAGTTCCTTACAGTACCAAAAAGATCAAATTTTGACCTATTTTTTATACGTCTAATCATGCGCCAGGATACTAATTTTGGGGTGTTGTAGGCCACTCTGTCGCCAATGCAATGTTTTGGGAAATGAAGAGACACGTGTAAAATGGGAGACGCAGGAAAAGTGAAGAAGTTCGGCTCCAACAGCGTGGAAATAGAGGAGTTTGGTCCCCAGCTGAAGCTGTTGAAGGCAAACGATCAGATAAGAGAACTTCAGACGATTATTAGAAATAAGTAAGCTCGCCGCAGAAAGAACTTCAATTAGAACATTCATGATGAACATAATTATTGACAGCCATTGATTGACTGTGGGCCTATTATCAGATTTATAATATAGGCCTAGGCCTAAATTTTTGCATGAATGCAAACATGAATATGGCGTACGGTAAAATTAGATTTCTGTGTATCCATAGGCCTAGATGGTATTTCAGTGGCATAATGTGATAATTAATAAGTATCCCAGAGCTGAGGTTGCCAGACATGCCAGATTAACACTTGCATTTGGGTCATTCCATGAGGTTGAGGCACAATTTGTGACGGTGTCAACTGTTACATGGGTTCCATAAAATTAAAAGAGTTATTTCCCTGCATGTGGATTCCCAATTGACATTGTTATACATCTTGCAAGGCTGAATACAGAGGGGTGTGTTATGTTTACAGAGTAAATGACCTACTCTACAGCCTATTATAGTACAGGTCATGACAGGTGGTAAATGTTACCCATGTAACAAGGACACCGTCACAAATTGTGCCCCAAAGGCCCAACCAATGGAATGACCCATAACATTTTGTTGAATTCTTTTATTTCCTTTTTCATCAATTCATAGATTCTATAAACAATACGTAACTTGTTTACATTTGATTTATCATTTAATTTCCTGTCGCAGATCAACATCAAGAGGAGATTTTGTATTCTATGCCGACAGACTAGTAAGTGTCTGGGATAGAGATGATAAAGAGTTATGAAATCTTATTTGCTGCATGCTGCATAGGCATATTTGCCAGGAGCTTTCCTGGAACCCCAAATAATCCACCACTGTGCAGAAACCTAGCACTGCATTCAAAAGCATCCAGTTTCTCTATCCTGCAAAATCTTCTGAAAAGCTGGATTTTGTAGGTAAAAGAAACTTTGAAACATAAAAATTCTACCTTTAATGTCATTTCAGGCGGAGTGAAAATAATTAAATTATGCCTTCTTGTTTCCTTACCTGCCTAATTTCTTGTTTATGTTGTTGATTTACGATGCATTTCGACTTTTTGCTCTAAACAAAATATGTAGCCATAACTGCAAGTTTACAACCTGCACTACAAAATAAAATTACCTTCGTAGATAAAAAGTGTCAGTGAAATAGTTCAAAAAAATTCATTTGCTTTGAAAAAAATCCACAAGGTTAAGGGAAAAAAAAAACATACAAAAAACTCATTTTTCTCTCTTTGATCTGATAAACTGCTTTTGACTACTCATGCTCGTGCCACTTTTCAGATCCGACTAGTCGTTGAGGAGGGTTTGAATCAGCTGCCGTACAGAAATGCGGTGGTGACTACACCGACCGGTTGCAAGTATGAAGGGGTGCAGTTTGAACATGGCAACTGTGGAGTCAGCATCATGAGAAGTGGTACGTTCAGATAACATTGGAAATAGTTAACACTTGTAGTTCTTTAGGATTTTTTTCAAAGGAGTACTCCGTGAGTTGTTTTTTTTTCTACAGAGAGTGAAATTATTTTAAGCAACTGCTGAAAATGTTCATGTTGAATTTGTGTGACGTGGAAACTTGCCCGCACCTGATTTCTCCACATTGTTGCGCTTGTGTAAAATAACCGAATCAGGTGAAATCGGCTGCCTTTTCCAAAATCCCTGTCGGGTTTTTCCTAGCCCCTTAGCAATGCAACAAATACCAGCACATACTTGAAATAAAGAACATGCTATGCAACCCAATACAATACAACACAATACAACTCAACACAACGCAACGCAAAACACAAAACAAAAGACGCAACAGTGGATTTTGTGGCACTGTGCTGTGCTCTAATCAAATGAATGTACCACCCTTGGCACTCATCAGTAACACAGTAGCAGCTCCCGTCCATACTTGCATATAGATCTGACAAGTTGCGGACCACTGTCACTTTCTGTTGCATCTTTGCAAGGTTGGGGTCACTGCGCATCCACAGCATGACAGGTAAAAGCAACCATTGATTAGCCTAGTTTAATATATCAGGCAAGATATGGGACGGAGGGGTACCCCCCCTTACCTGTCCAATCCCTATACGCACTCTAGACTATTGTTACCTAACACCTCCTCCTAGAAGTCTGTAAAGAATTCCTGAGATTTCGACCAAACAATGACCAACACAAAGGCCGGGGGGGTTCTCTCCGTCCCATATCTTGCTTCAAATGTAGTTTAACCGTCATGCCAGTCAGGTTGTTGTCTCGTATTCCCTCCATCGCTCGCCAGGCGAGGCCATGGAACAGGGTCTGCGTGACTGCTGCCGCTCCATCCGCATCGGCAAGATCCTCATCAGAAGCGACGATGACACCAACGAGGCCAAAGTGTTCTATGCCAAATTCCCTCCGGACATTCACAAGAGGAGAGTCCTGCTCATGTACCCCATATTAAGTAGGTCCACTATACTGAAGTTTGTTCACATCTGGTAATGAGGCTAACTTTCAAGAGGCGCTGGGTTGGAAAAAGCAGTTCGGGAAGCTGTTGTATAGCATTTTCTTCACAAAAACATCCAGCCCAACCCCTTCCTCAACAATACCTTTTTTCCCCCGGTAAATATGAAGGATTTGATTCGCCCCAATCATTGAAAATTAACTGTTGGCAGCTTACATCTAAAATCTTGTCAAGGATCTGCACCTGTTGATCACAGATTCAAATCCTGTTCCGTAACTTGACTACTGCCGATACAAATGTGTATTACAGATAACTGTTACTCGCTTCATTGCTGAATTCTTCAAATGTTGCCAATTTTTGTTAGGTTCCGGTAATACCGTCATCCAAGCTGTGCGAGTCCTTGCAGAGCACGGAGTCAAAGACAACATGATTGTGCTGCTCACCATTTTCTGCACACCAAACGGTAGGTTCTGATGGGAGTAACCACCAACTTGTTTCAAGGTGCAGGCCTTGTACGTATTACCAGTGACTTTTACACAGCTACAGGGCTATGGAGGGTTTGCATGGCTGCCATCTTGCAAGCCAGTGCTTTTGTTCCACAGGGTATAGCAAATGAGGTTTGTCTGTGAAACAAAACTGCCCTGCAGGATGGCAACCATGCAAAGCCTCGACTGGAAGCTTTGATGAAAATTGATGGAAACCTGATCAAAATGGAAACACTGGGCACAGTGTGGAAACTGTAATGTGGAGTATGAACAGTGGCCCAAACTTCATCGCTGTCAGTCTTTATTTGCTGGCTGAAGACTTATTGCTTTATAACAGGGGCTGAATAGTGTCACCCCATGGTGCCCTTTCTTGATCTGAGAAAAGGTGTAGGCCATTGACAGGAAATAGGCCCTGTCCAAAACCTCGAGATCGCAGCTAGGTCTAGGAGGTTGCCAATTGTGTGTGTAGGTCCAGGCCGACAGTGAAAACAGGAATAGCTCTGGGAAGCCCATCAGATAATGGATTTATTTCACTTGGAACATACTGGTGTAGTGAGCGATTTCGGCCAGTAGCACACTCGACTCATTGCGCAGAACCACCACACGTTGTGGGAGGCTGGGAGTCCGACCGAGGAAAAAGGCCAAGTTTGACCAGGGTACAAATGTTCTGTACAGCTCTGGAAATCGAGATTGTGGCTGTTCTTGTTTGAGTTGCATCTTATTTACCCATCTTTTTTCAGGTGTGAAATCCGTCATCAACAAGTACTCTGGAATCAAAATTCTCACATCGGAGGTCCACCCAGTCACACCGAACCACTTTGGACAAAAATACTTTGGAACTGATTGAGGGGCCCCAGGAAGTATTAGAATTGGTTTTGGGATAGAGAGACGAGAGTGCCTACCATCTGCTGAAGCGATGGTGGTATGCATCAATGTGATCCTGACAACGGATTTCAAGTCAGGGTCTGCAGAATTCTTACCCACTCAAACGCCAGTTATTTGGTTATATGGATATTTTCCAGCATAGACAAGTTTTTGAATACTCATTTCCCAAGAATTGAAATGACTTCTGCTGCGCGGAATAAATGTCAAGGGCAGATCCGGGGTGGGTGGAGGAGAGTCGGGGCAGTGCCGTCCCCCCCCCAGCCAGATTACATTTTTTCAGGCGATTTTTCTGTGATTTCATTTTCCTCCTGTGTGAAAATGCAACATCACCCCTCAGAAAGGTCGTAAAGGGTTATTAAAAAAAATTCCAAATTCTTTGCGTTATTGTGGAGGGAGGGATTGAAACAGACTGGAGAAGGGTTGACGGGCAATTTTTCCAGCTTCACAGATGTCCGACTTGAGTTCTGCAAGCCGTAGTGGGATTAAACTGTGAAACTATATTTCTTCTGTCCTGTATGTACTTGTAAATAGCTTATTAGACCAGGGAAGGTAGCATGTGGTTAAACCTCAACTTCTTTCATATTTAAGACGTCCTGTATAAAAATCCCCGTAGCTGTGCTGAGAGCACAGAAGTTTTACTAGTCTCCCAGATGCAGCAGTAAATGTATGTCATAGCTTTAGCGCCCACTTGTATCATACCAAAATAAAGACACGTTAACAAATATTACTTACTGAGGTGTGCATTTATGACACTAAGCCTTTTGCGAGTTAAATTTGAATACAGTCTGGTAAACTGTGTTATCTTAATGCACGTAAACACAACAATTTGAATTCCCCAGACTAAAGACACTTGCTGTATCTCGTGATTTGAAGCAAGCTTTTGCATGGCTATCATCACCTGTCTGAAATGGACAGGTTCCTTTGTGCCATTCTTATCCATTGAAAACAGAGAATTGTTGCAAGACGTCTCTTATGTAACTAAGCCCCGAATCACCAGGTATACCAACAGTATTTTTAGTGTGGAGAATTCAAATTGTTATGTTCATGTGAATTTAAAGAACCTGGTGTACCAGATTCAATTCAAATGTTACTCGCAAAAGTCTTATTCTTTGAAGCCTGGTGTACGTTTTTTGTGATGTACAGGAAGCAGAACCTCACAGAAATAAAAATCGAACTCAGGCATCCGTTTCAGTTGTTTCACATAATGTAACAGCTTTAATGTTTACACTGTGCAACCATTACCGATTTGCACACTCGTTGGAGGATCCTTTCCTTCACAAACTTTGAAAGTTTTCCCTTGACTCTTGAAACATGTTCCCACTGGACTGGATGGTTATAATGACCAAATGCAAATAGCCCCAAAACCAAAGAAGTGTTTTAGAGAAGTTGATTTTTTTGTCAAAAGTAGGAGGAAAGAGAAATTACAAGTTGAGTCGTCGACCCGCTCAAGACTTCTTGAGAGTGAGGATAACAGAAGTTATGGTTTTTAGGACAGTGGGGTCTTTTCCCAGCTTGTCGTGTGGCGTGCGCTGGGCCTAGGTGCGCTGCGCGATTCTCTTGTCGCGTTCCTCGGCGATGGTCAGACGGATACCCTTGCCCTTGGGCAGGGACACCAGGGACTTGTTCCCCTTGCCGATGATGAACACGTTGGACAAACGGGTGGCAAACGAATGGCCTTAAAAGGGATAAAAACATTCAAGTGGTTGGTCACAAGATGTGTGCAACGGAAACACTAGCAGTCCACATGCCAACAGTGAGTTTTGTATACACCAGGGGTGTGAGGATTCAGCTTTTTAAGCTTGTATTGGCTTTTTTTTTGTTTAGATGTTGACCCTTTGTGTGCACCTGCTGTGTACATTTCAGCTTCTTGCTAGCTGTTTTCAGCTTTAATTTTAAGTGGCCACTCCCACCCCTGACACACCCATGCTACAGAGTACAGACAGGCAACCTTTACTGAATGGCTACAACTTTCTAGTGCAAGACAGCGGATGAGATTTTTCATGTAAGAGATTCTCCTACGAATGATGCACAAGAGAAATTAATCTGTAAGATTTCGGTTGTGTCTTACCAGCGGAGTCCTTCACATGAACGATGTCGAAGGATCCCGGGTGGCGTTCACGGTGCATGACCAGCCCGACACGCCCCAAGTTACGCCCTCCGGTGATCATGCACAGGTTGCCTGGCAAGGATTAGATAATCTTTCATAACTGAACATGCTAAAACATAAATCTGATACTTAATTTAACATTTCGGCATGGACTAATCCGAGGAGACACGACTGGCCAATCAAAAATAACCCTTGCACAATCTCAATTCCCATGACATTTCCTCTGACCACAGGATTCCACAACATCTCATTTTTCACCCACTTGCCACAACATTCTTTCCCGGCCCTTTTCACTGACCGTCGGAACCCTAAGAATAGATCTTACCACTGTCAAATTTGATGTAGTCTGTGATGCGCCCTGTAGCAATGTCGACCTTGACCGAGTCATTCGCCTTGATGAGGGGGTCCGGGTACCGGATGGTGCGAGCATCATGGGTGCTGAGGTACGGGATGCCCTTGGGACCAGTCCAGACCTTGCGCACCTTGCACAGCTTGTACTGAGAGAGAGAGAGAGAGAGAGCAGTGAATTCCAAGCCAATTAATGCACCTGCAACTGTCAATTTCCTCACAGAGTGAAATCAGTTGGGCTGGACTGCATCATAAGTTGAACCGAAAGGGGGAATAGGTGCACTTGACTCCTATCTACTATGCATCTGCACGGCCTACAGCTGATGAGATGCCGCACTAGCCAGTACCAAACGCTGCGTCTCACCGAGTACAGTTGTACTTGGGAACCGTTTGGATGGTGCGATATATGTGAAGCAGGCAACGTCCATTCTTTCAAAGAGAAGGCAAACGACATCCTCCTTTCACTGGATCATGATTTATCTCTTGTATGACTTTTTTTTCCCTTTTCTACATGTTTTTACTTGACGCTTCAAGGTTTGTGTGGGTTGCTGGATGGCAACTTACAGCTCCTATGCTTTCCTCACTCTACCTGCTTCGTCTTTTATAATTATAATAATAACAATACTACACTGAAGGTGGTGAGGAGATTCGATGAGGTAGAGCACAAAATGAACAATGCCACTTTCTTCATCATCACCTCCAGTGAATCATTTGAAATGTGGCAGTTTCCCATCGTTCTTTAAGTGCAAGAACCCGATTGTATATCAATACGTGCATGATTAACCCTCCTATCGTTTTACAGCACAAATGTGCACAAATGCCCACAGTCACTGGTGAGCATGTAGTTTCTATATGGAACTCAAACATGCACAGGTTCAGTGTGTACACAGTTGATGGCCAGCACAAAATGACCCAGGGTCTTTTGTGCAGTCCTCTTCACTGCATTTGGTTTACTGCACAGTTATGCACATGAAACAGTGAAGCACAGTTGTTGGGCAGCACAAAAGGGCAATCTGATATTCCTGTGAGGGACTGTTGGTGCAGTGCACAACACGACACAGCTGTGCATCTTTGAGGTGTTTACCAAATGACCCAAAGAGTGACTTCCACATAGGAGGGTTAAAGAAGGGAATTTAACACAGTTTACACCAAATGAGGCCACAGGTTCCACTGCATGAAATAGCATAGCGTCCCTTAACACCCTTTCTTGCAGAGTGGGTCACAAATAACAAGATGAAATTCAAAGTGTATGAAACCGTTTTTCAAATATAGACTGACAAGTACCTTGGCTTCGTCATTGCCAATGCGGTGAACAGCAAAGCGTCCCTTGATGTCGTAGATCAGACGGAAATTCTCTCCCGTCTTCTCAATGGAGATCACGTCTGCAAGAGGACACAACAGAAAAATCAGTTGTCTCCGAGCGGAAGCCATCTAGCGTGACATTCATTTTTAAAAGTAACTCAGTGGGCATGTTTGCAACACATCTCTACCACACTTATCTCAATCCTTCCACACTCTTGTAAATTCTTCAAAATCTACCAATAGCTTCTGCAAGATTTGTAAGGATTGAGGCGGGTAGAACAGAGCCACTATTTTCCCTCTGCACGGGACTTGATAAGCCCGGCATGTTCAAGTCCACAGCCTGTGCCATGGGGTTTCTGCCGAGTGATTACAACAGAGGCCACAAGTGGGTGAATGGAAGGTCTCATTTTATCCAACGTAAGAAACTTTTCAAAGTACTCAAAGTAAACAATGCTTACTGGAAAACAAAGATAATTTGCAAAAAAAATCCTCACTGAAATACAAAAACTTGATTTGTTCTTTCTCTGGGTAGTGCTGGGAATGGGTGACATAGTAAACCAAGTCCAGCGACCATGGGAGAAAGCGTTGATGTAGGCCTCCTTTGAACTCAGCAGTCAACTGATAAAGACTTATGAGCCTTCGATAGAGGCCGCCCGACAGTGCACACGGACCAGGTCCAGTTTTCAAGGATATTGAGCTTTATAGTCAGGATCTCAATTTTGTGGAGCACATCCGCGAGGATGGAATGGGATATTGGAAACTCGGACACCGGAGGCAACTCAAATGGGCGGACGGCAGATGCATGAAGGCCGTACATTGGTTGAGCATGGCCACCTGGGCCTGCGCCAAGTAGGCATGAAGCTGTGCGCACGTGCACTGTGCCCCTACCAAAGGGTCACCATCGTCACGTAAACACGGGCCATTCAACATGGGGCATTCCAACAGGTTTTATCAGCGGTTCCCAGAATGGGATTTTTCTGCACAACTTCTGCACAGAACTGCGTTATCCGAGGGCCTTGATTGCGTGGCATACTTGACAAACCATCGGGCCCCTCATAAATGCCGGCACCAAATCACTGCGGTACTGACCCATGAAACCGGCCGGGTAGGTGATGTCAGTGCGCACTTTGCCGTCCACCTTGATCAGCCGCTGCATGGTCACCTTCTTGGTCTCGTCATAGGTCAGCGCGTACTTCAGCCGGTTCCTCAGGAAGATGATCAGGGGCATGCATTCTCGCAGCTTGTGGGGGCCGGTGGAGGGTCGCGGGGCCTGGAAGGCAGGTTTGGGAAATGAATCACAGGTTTGTGAAAATTCCTCAAAAACTATCAAGCAACAAATTTTACAAGCAAGGTTAGCGCACATGTCAAAACTGATGTTAAAAGTGACTTGCAATGATAACAATGAAGTTGAAACATCATGTGTGACTTTCTGGCGATTCAGCTGTGCAAGATGAAAACCTAATTCATGAATTTGTCAAGGGAGTTACTTGATGTTGA